AAGGATGATAACAAAGGATGACAAAACCCTGGAAATAAATAATAGAATAATAGCAAAGTTTGCAAAGGGAGGCCATGAGCCTCAACAGAACACAGAATGTCAGATGTTGACATCAGGACTTCCTCTCTCCAAGTTTTTGGCTTCTCTTTCAGACAGGCTTTCTCCGCTTAGTGGCAAGATGGGCATCCAGGCATACATTTTCCACAGAGCTGGTGATTCCAAAGAAAGGGGAGAGCCTTTCTCTGTCACTGTCTTCATCAGTCTCAAAAAGGGAGTCTGACTGGTCCCACTCCAGCTTCACGCCAGCATGTCATGTCACATGTCCGCTTTTGTGGCATTCTTGTCCCATGCAGGGCTGCGTGATTGACCACCAGCAGCTATCAGAGAGAAGATGGGAAGTTACCCAACAGAAAAAGTGCTAGGCAGGTTGAAAAAGTAACCCTCTACAATTTCCATCCAGTCTTTCCGTATGTATATGTATGTGTAAATATGTTATAAATGAAACGATTTTAATATTGAAGGCATTTTCTTATATTACTACAAACTTTTTCATTACCTTCGATTTTTAATAATACTATTTGCAAAGAGAGAGACTCTTATCTTTTGCTTTCCATTTTTCCGCTTTACAGTGATAGTGGTATATCAAGCCAGACATTTTGACTAAAGAGAAGACCCATGCATGAAGAGACAGGCTTTCCTACTATGAGCCCCATTCAGTGAAGAACTAAGAAAATTGTCAAGTTATAAGTAAAAGGAGTGGAAGGAGCATTGTTCTCCCTTCTCTGTTTTTGCACTTCTCTATTGATTTAGTTCCTTCCATGACAAGGAAGGTAGGCAACAGAGTATGTGGATGCCATCAATGAGAGAAATGAGTCAACCCAGATATGAATCAACTTAGATATGAAATAAAGCAACCCAGATATGAAATGAATCAATCCAGATATGAATCAGCCCAAAGCAATGAGCCAACTCATTATTTCAACCATTAATTAGTCCACTAATGTTTCTAGCCCTTTGCTAGATACATTAACTTAGCCCCTGCCATTACAGAGTTTAGTTTGTTATGGATAGACAAAAGACCGAGATTAAACAAATGGTTACAGATGTGATGAAGACAACTTCAAAGAGTACTCAGAACTACAGGGGAGAGTGAAAAAGAGGCAGACCTTACTTAGCTGTGGAATCAAGGGAGGCTTCCTGGAAGAAGAATCCGTTGAACTAATAGCTGAAAGAGAAATGAGCACTGGCTAGGCAAAAGGGTGTGGGAAGGAAGGCTGAGCCCAGGTCAGAAAATGGTGCCTACAATTGCCTCTCCTACCCACTCCCCCAGCAGGAGAGGACACAGTGTGTTCACAGTATCTAGAGAAGCCCACTTCATCTCATACAGAGAATGAAGTGAAGAGTAGAACCAGATGGGGCTGGATGAGAGTCCATGGGGCCTTAATCATGCAAGACTCTGCAGTGCCATGAAGGATTAGGAACTGCTGTCTACAGGTGGTAGGAAGCCACTGTAGGATTTTGGACAGAGTAGTCATAAGATTATAAATGAATTGTTCATAGATCACTGGGTTCATAGAATATAGAAGCAATGGAAGGGAGGCAAGATTGGCTGCAGAGAGTCCACTGTTTGGAAGCAGCTGTAATAGAGATGATGATGGCTGGGACTGAGGAGGTGGCCTGGGGACAGAGGGAAGTAGGAGGATGTGTGAAGCACTTGGGAGTTGGAAGACTGATTAGACGTGAAGAATGACAGAAAAAGTAGGGATGACTATCAGGTTTTGGCTTGAAGGAAAAAAAAAAAAAAAAGAAGCTGTGATGTCTTTACTGAAACCCCTGGAGGCGAAGCAATTTGAGGAGGTAATGATGAGTTCATTCTGGGACATGTGAAGTCTGAGGGACAAACAAGACACAAAAGTAGAGCTCTTGAGTAGATGGCTAGAGAGATCCGTGGACAAATCCGCCAGTCATTCCCACGGATTCTAAACTCCACAGCAGCTTTTTCAGAGAGTTTGGGCCTGGATTACGTGGATAACTGTCATCCATTCATTCGACTGCACGTGTGAAGTACCCTTATGTTTACCAGCTTCATTTTCGTGTTAGCCTCTTGCTCTCACAGTTTTCCAGTAGAGATGAGTTCTCACTGGAAATGTTAGTATTCTTGAAACACAATTTCTTTCTTCTGTGGATTCTGAAAAAGTCAGTGGTCAAACGACAAAGTGAGGCTCATTAGGGCTAGAAGGGAAGAAACTAATGTCCTAACATGGCAGCGGGTTTTGTAATCATTTTCTTCTCCATCGGGAAGGCGTGGCACACATTCGAAATGATGTGATTTCTCATTCTACTGATAAAGTTCTGTTAAAGCCAATCACTAAGTGAATAATATGATAAACTCCTGAAGGTTAAATGTACCTGACTCTGATTTCCTACAAAGCGAGGTTATGGCAGTGCGGTGAAATTCCCAACCTTGCCTTCTTCAACAGGCCGTTCTTAAGTCATTAATTGTGCCTTTGTATATATTTCTGTTTTGGGCCTAACCACATAGTTAAGTGTGCCTAATAGCAAACAAACACAACAATTAGCCCCGAGTTCAGAAGTATAAACTCAAACACAGCTGATCACTGAAGAATCACACACATTTTGTTAGCATCTCCCAATGAAGGAAGCACAAGAAGACACAAGAAAACAAAAGCCACAAAGTTGGATGTTAAATTATCATCAGGCGCTCTGTGTACACATGTGTGATAGAATATGGTTATATATGTATTCTAATGCAGTATGTTCTCTAACAGGGAGAGGTTAAATATGAAATCACCCAATATCCTGTCAATCCTGTCTCCCAAACATCTCAAATTCTTCTCATCTCCAACCATACATACCAGCCCTCCTGTAGGGCTGGATGTGCACTCATTAGAAGAAGAATTCCAGTCCTTTGAGACACTGGATCTGCCTTTCTTCTGTGTTATGACTCTGGTCCTCTTTCGAGACCCAGGAAGTCTACTTTTACTGGCATTTTAAACACCTAAGACTCAGGCATAAGTACCACAGGCCACGAAATGCTCTGGTGTATAAGTGTGAGCTTTAAAAGTGAAAGATTTTCTCATTGTGTAGTGCAACAGGGCATTGAAATCCTACGAAACTACTTGGTACTAGAAGGAACATCAATGACAGAGATCTAGGGTTTGGGATGCCCACCTTGGCTCCCCTCTCACCATTTTAACTGCTTATAGACAGGGGAAATAGACCATAGGAAAACTTAAAAATGCCATCCTCCAGCCTCCCTCTTTCAGTGCCTTGCAAGGAGCTCATGCCCCTTGTTCTCATACTGCTCTCTGTGTGCCCCGCAGAGGCCTGTCTCCTTGGTTGTAACTCATGCCTAAAACCTCCTTATGTTTTTTTTCCTGTTGAAACAGCTCCTTGCCCTCATGTATTTGTGCAAGGAAAGGAGTCAGGTACACTCATTCATATCACAGGGCCCTGTCTCCAAAGTAATAATCCTTCAGGAGTAAGACTGCAGATTCCCTGAAAGGAAAGGAGATATTCTGAATCCAGTGTCTTCCTAATACCGCTAGTCACAAATTAACGACGTGGTCACCAATCTGCCCTTGTTTAATGGTGTTTCTGTGGCAAGATCTGGGTTAGACATACTTCTTTTCTCCAGCTTCTTGTTTGAAACTGGTACACATTCTGATTGAGGGCAGAGAATTTTTCCTCTGAATAAATCGTTTCCCCTGAAGAAATTGGCTGGATGGTATAGTACTGGTCGATGAACCAGGATACCTAACCTCTGTTCCCTCCAACGCCATTTCCCAACTACATCACCTCGGGCAAGCCACTTAACCTTTCTGAGGACCAACTTCCTAAAGTCAAATGGGATAATAATCCCTCATCAGCATCCTTACAATTGGTTATTTTAAAGAAGTGAGAAAATGAATGTGAATTGGCCTTGAGATCTGTAAAATGTACACAGCATTATTCCTGAACCGTGACTGCTTCCCTTACCCGGTCTAGTGATTTTTAAACACATAGTACAAGATCTTCCCATATTGTTGCAATATGGAAGGAAACAGCTGCTAGTCAAAGCCAATTTTAGAAACCTGCATTTTTGCAAAAGGAAGAGTCAACTTTCATCATAACAATGTTGCTGGCACGGGATGGTTACTGCCAGAAAACAATGTAGAGAAAGTCCAGCAGGTGTCAGCAGAGAACCAACTTTCAGTACTAGGTGGGCTCCTCCAGGGAGGGAGATGCCCGGGCCTGGTGGGCTGGGACAGGGCTGGGGGGAGTCCGTCATTAAATCCAGGGCTGTCCCAGTTCTGGTGGGTGCTGGTGGGCAGATTGGGACCACTGAGATGGGGACAACACCACTTCGGCTTTATCTACAAAATCCCCCTCATTGGCTGCAGGATCCTCTCCCTTCAGAAGATCCCTTCCCATGTCTGCTGTTTAGTCTGGGCCTGAGTCCCTCTTCTGGCCTTAGAACCTGTGCTCTAACTTGAAAACCTGTCTCAAAGGGAAGAAGACTTGTTTGTTTAGAGAAATACTGCTTTGGGAATGCCTTTCATCCCTCCCTGTTTTGGATATATGATTTTCACCTACTCTTCCTTCTCCTACCTTAACAACCAGCCATTTGGATTCAATAATTCAGGCAACAAATCCAGCTTCTACAAGGTGAGTGGCTAACGTATTGGCAGTGGGAGAGCACCGTTTAAAGCTACTAAATAGAAGCCTATGCAGTGAAGTATTTAAGCTCATATATGCTACAGATGGTCTCTCATATTTTACTTTTATGATTTCATTGCAAACATATATGAGCCTGTTATAATGTGCCATGCTGAAATGGGGTCTTTCTTGGCTGGATGTAGAGAGGATGACTTGGAGAAGCAGAGAAGCAGCTCTTTGAAACAGGAGCAAATCCCAAATGGTCTGCCTTCCTTCCCTCTGCATATCTAAGATTCCGTGTGTGTGTGTGTGTGTGTGTGCGTGCGTGTGTGTGTGTGTGAGAGAGAGAGAGAGAGAGAGACATGTATATAAAGTGGTATATCTTAGTAATGAGGGAAGAAAAATATGTGAGAATATGTGAGAAGCCCTGTGAGAGGAAAGGGCAAATGGGATCAGCGCCAAAAGGCTGTCTGAGGCTTTGGAGCAAGACCTGTGGCTAAGTTCAAGGGCAGGGCCACAGCCAAATAAAGGGCTGGCCACCTGCAAGTCTGCCACATCTGGGAAATGGATAAAAGGAAAAAGAATAAATCAAATAGCTATGGATGCTTGCAGTCCTTGGCATTATTTGCTTTTCCCACCCCACAGCAAAGTCCGACTCTTCCCCAAAACGCAGAAATTCTAGAATAACTCGAAGGTCTCCAAGAAAAAAGAGTTGTGTCCTACTTAGAATAGGCCAAGTATGTGTGTGGGGGTGTGGGGGGGTATGTCTATAGGGGGTCATTAGGATCCTAATCTCTAGTATCTGGCACCCACAAAGGACAGAACTCCCATATCCACCGCTAAGTATGACTCCTGGGCCCAGTGGTCCATAAATCTCCAGCTGGTGGAAAGATAGGCACAATATACACAGATTCCCACATTGCTGCAAATTTCTCGAATTCTCAAGTACTTGGATAAGCTATGTTTCTTTTTCTTTCTGATTGTAAATATTTAATTATTTCCACCTCTTTTTGAAGCCAGTAGGTATGATGTTTGCAAGAACATTTGAAATTAAGGGGAAAGGAGTTCCCAAGTCCACAGAGCAACTGCCTTGCACATTATTTTGCCCAGTATGTACAAGAAAAAGCAAAACAGAGAGCAGATATAGCCAGTTCAAGCTCTTGCAGAGTTATAATATGCAAAGTCCAACATTCCCGATAATTGGCCTGTGCTAAGTGTGGAACTGTGTCTCTTGTTTTGGGACAAAAATCTGCACTGGTAATTTAAATATGGAGGCTTCAAAGACGGAGAACCCAAGGATGTTGAAACCCATCTCTTGCCTCAGTCTTTGTATAAGGTCCCTTTTAAATCCTAAATCCCCATAAGCCATATTGTTACATTGTAAAATGTAACTTTCTCTGATCTTATCCATTCCCAGTATGGTGAGATCGTCTTTGGCTGCGTCTAACTAGGAAAAATGAAAGGGTGAGTTGAAAGCATTAAAGACAGCAGTCAGAATGATCAGAAAACCCAGCCAATGCAGCCTTTTCCACAAAATGAGGCCACAGTTAGCGTCTCCGCTGTGTAGACCAAGCTCAAGTTAATTCGGTTTAGCCAGGCCTTTTTCTTTCCTACTAGAGCCTCAACCCCAATGGCTACCAGGACCTGGGGAGCTCGCCTCTGCCCTCAGGACCTCCCTGCCCGGCTCAATAGCTCTGGACCAGTTCATTTCGCCACAGCCCGGAGCCGCTCGGAAAGCAAAGATTAAAGGGGAAAGTCGCAGCTGTATATTTATATTTTCATTGCTAGAAGGGAATTGATTTCCGCGCATTTATTTTGGTAGTTGTAATACACAAGGGCGGATTTGCGTCACCCGAGCAACTTGCCGGTGGAGATAAAGTTGCACAAATATTGAAAGGGGAAGTGCTAGGAGTCATTATAGAGTTTTTCTCCGGAAGAAATAAGGATTTCTGCAGTATCCTAAAATACTAAGGCCGCTTCTATTTTGAGACCAATCTCGCAGGCACATCCGCTCATTTAGTCCGAGTTTGAGCCCATCAAAAACAGGAGATGACCTGAACTCCGGCGAGCCCAGGGTTTCCTGCTGCTTTCTTGATTCTAAAGTGCGGGGAGTGAGGAGGGCGGGAGTCTGCGGGCTCAGAACTGGGCGAAGGGCCTGAAGGGGCCAGGCTTGGGCCTGGGGAAGGGGTAAAGGGGGCGACGGGGGTCGCTCCAAAGACTTGTTTTTCGCGTTTGCCTCCGGGAGCTGGAATTAAGGCCTCGGATGGCGCCGATGCGGTTGCAAGGAAGCAGAGGGCCTGGGAGAGCAAGGGGTGCGCTGGCGAAGTTGCCGCTTGCAATCCAGCAGCTGGCCTGGCGGAGAAAGGGAGGCTAGCGACGCGAAGAGTCGGCGGCCCTCGGGGCCTAGCTTTCGCCACGTCTACCCAACGCTCCGGGCCTTGAATCTCTGCAGGTGCGAGTTGCGGGCGCCTCAGGGAACCCCGAGGTCCCGCGTTTCCCCGGGTCTGCGTCCCGTGCCCAACCCAGAGCTTCGCAAACCTTGGAAAGGATGAAAGCGGGTAGGGGAGTCTTATTTCTTAAGAGAGAAGGTGAGGGCGCGCGGCGCCGCCTCCGGTAAGGAGTAAAGGCACCTCTTTCACAACTGTGAGTTTGGGCTTAGGCCGACGTCTAAATGTTTGCAGTCAAATTAGAATCACAATCAAACTGGAAGTAGCACTAGAAAGGAAAACGCTCATGGCCTCCCCTACGCACGCTCCCACCGAAGGCTCGCCAGAACCCTCAGCCAGCGCCTTAAGTGCCCTTGTACTTCTTGCTCCTTTGCCTTCAGCTTGACCCAAAAGCACTGGTCTTATTATGCCTCTCGCCCCAGGGGCCCCTACCTTCACCCAAACATACCCATCTATCTCTGGAAATAACACCTCTCTCCTGGCTGCCTGGAGCAGGGGAAGAAAACCTTTCAGGAACTGGAGCTGGAGAGCGGGAGAGCTGGGGGCGGGAGGAGGAGGAGAGAGAGAGGGAAAGATCTCCGTGCTGGCAGATCGGAAGTGATTGATAATTTTCCAGGAAAAAGTCAAAAGCTTAAAAGGATAGCATCTGCATCAAGGGGCTAGAGAAGCCACCAGAAATTAATTTTCTAAGCCCAAATCCTGAACTCGAGATAGGCATGGCAAGTTCACTTGCCTTTCCGGGTTTATTCGGTGAGGAGCCTTAGTGTTGAAGGGAAATAAAAATGCCACAGAATCTCTGTTAGGAGATGCTTATTAGGGCAATCGAAAACAAAAGATTTCGTGGTTTCATTATTGCTATTATTTTATTTTCTTCCTGAAAATGTGCAAGAACAGCTCATCCGGGTGGCCTGTGGTTTGTTTGGGAGAGGGGTGGGGAAATCCATTCTGACTGTAATTTAAAAGAGAACGAATTCTTAAAATAGAGATGTTGATGTTGCACAACCCCCCACTCCCCCAACCACTATCACCACCCTGTGTTCTAAGACCCAAGGCACGATTGGAAGACGTTGACCACCACTGCAGCTCCTCCTGCGACCAGGCTCAAGGGGTTCCCGGGGAAACCGTCACAGAATTGAAAGCGGTATTGAACCCCACGGAAATCTGCTCTTGCGGGCACTTGCAAAACAACGAACCCCACGTGATCTGGAGATGTGGTGGAGGAGGGAGGCTAACATTTTCTACAACGTGCTGCAAAGGAGGGAACGAGCGTGCCCCTCTCCCGGGTTTCGGGAGGCAGCCTGTTTTGTAGTGTCTGAGGCTCGGGGGAAAGGTTTGGCTGGGTCTAAGGGAGACGTCTGGAGCCATCCATCTTATTTTGTTTGAAAAGTCAGTCGTTCAAGTTGTCACTGTGTGACAGCTCAGAAGAAAACTAATTTGCGGCCGCCCCTCCTCCTCGCTTTGCCGAGGATCTCCCGGGAGGCACGGGGCGGACGCGGTGCTGAGTTGGGCCGGGACTCAGGGCCGCAGCATTCGGGCAGGGGCCCAGGAAAATGGAGGGCTTTGCCGAGGACACAGACTCCTGTAATAAAAGCAGAATGAGGCCAAGAGGAGGAAAGCGAAGGGGCCAAAAGCGCGCTCCGCTCTCCACCGGGAGGCGGGCTTTACATCGCCCTGAAGCACCAGATAACTGTTCCTTTCCCACTACCCCGACTCGCCCCGGGCGACAGGCGCTTCAGGAAAGCCCCTGTGACCAGCTCTCCTTGCCCCATGGCGGTTTGGAGCTGCAGAAGTTAGAAGACAGTCAGCCCTCCGGAGTGGCTGCCTGGCCCCTGCGCAGAGGAGCAAGACGCGCTGCGCTGTGCCCTGCTAAGTCCACGCGGCCACAGCAAACAGTTTGGCGTGGTCGGGGCGTGGCTCGGGCCCGGCCACGCCCCTCGCTCCTAATTCCCCACCACTCCCGGCTCCCATTGGTCACGAGGATGGCCAATGAGCGCTCGGATCGAGGTCCTACCCCGGGCCTGACTCGAAAGCTCCTGCCAAAACTTTGGGAGTTTTTAGAGACGAGTTTTTTTTCTATTACTTCTCTCCCCCACCCCCCCACCCCCAACTAACGGATTATTATTGTTGTTGTTTTAAATTTAGCTCTTAGGGCTTAGCTGTTTGGGTTTTCTCGCGGTGTCCGGCTCCCGTCTCCCCGGCTCCCCGCCCGCCCTGCGGCCCCAGCGCCCCTCGCCAGCCTCCAGCCCGCGAGGAGTGAGTGCGGGCGCCGCGCCGCCTTTAAAGCGAGGCCAGGGAGCGGGGCGGTGAGCGGCGGAGATCGGCCCTCGCCTCCTCCCTCGGCGGCGCTCGGGCTCCCGGCCTCTCTTCTCCGGTGCGGGCGGAGAAGCGAAAGCAGATCGTCCTCGGCTGCGGCCGCTTCTCGCGGACTCGCGCGCCGGTCCCCGCGCGCCCACCCACTCGGTTCCGCCGGCCTGCGGCAGCCGCGCGGCTCACCCCGCCAGGATGTTCGCGGCCGGGCTGGCTCCCTTCTACGCCTCCAACTTCAGCCTCTGGTCGGCCGCCTACTGCTCCTCGGCCGGCCCGGGCGGCTGCTCCTTCCCCTTGGACCCCGCCGCCGTCAAGAAGCCCTCCTTCTGCATCGCAGACATTCTGCATGCCGGCCTGGGGGACCCCGGGGCGGCCCCGGAGGGCCTGGCAGGGGCCTCGGCCGCCGCCCTCACCGCGCACTTGGGCTCGGTTCACCCGCACGCCTCTTTCCAAGCGGCCGCCAGATCCCCGCTTCGACCCACCCCAGTGGTGGCGCCCTCCGAAGTCCCGGCTGGCTTCCCCCAGCGGCTGTCTCCGCTCTCCGCCGCCTACCACCACCATCACCCGCAGCAACAACAGCAGCAGCAACAGCCGCAGCAGCAACAGCCACCGCAGCAACAGCCCCCGCCTCCGCCCCGGGCCGGCGCCCTGCAGCCCCCGGCCTCAGGGACGCGAGTGGTCCCGAACCCCCACCACGGCGGCTCGGCCCCGGGCCCCTCCAGCAAAGACCTCAAATTTGGAATTGACCGCATTTTATCTGCAGAATTTGACCCAAAAGTCAAAGAAGGCAATACGCTGAGAGGTAGGTCTTGGGCGGGGGAGGCTGTAGGCCTCTGACCACGGCTCTGACACACTCTCCTGACCCCAGGCTGGCTTAGGGTGACTTTGAGTGTTTTTGCAATTAAGGACAAACCTGTAAAATGGGAGAGAAGAAAACGAATAGTAAGAAAACTACAGAACATTAGGTCTAAAACTCACCTGTTCTATGTAAAACAAAAAAAACCGACTCCAGGGATGTTTTTAAAAACACGTCTTAGAATCAATATTCATAAAAATGGTTGGTGTAATTACCTGCTAAAATAATTTTGATCCTTTTAATAATGTAACTAGAGGCAGAATGATATTTTCTGACAGGTAAAGCATTTTTGGGAAACACTTTCCCATATCTGATTTCTAGTAAAAATTCCACCCAGGAAATGTAAATAAAAAAGAAAACCACCTAGATGAGCAGGCAGAGTGGGGCCCCCTTTCGGGGGAGGCTTTGGGTCTGTGGAATTCTTGGAAGGCACGTGGAAGTGAGGCCGTAAGCTGAGTTATGTGAAGCCTTTTCTGGCTATATGCATGCATGTGGACGTGAGGGACACACAGGAACTTTTCGTGCGTCGCTCCTTGGCAACTGTTGGGAGAGAGAGGTTTCATCTCGGAGACGATTCTCTGGTGACTTCGCTCTATAAAAGCGAATCCAGGGCAAGGGGAAGGGGAGGAACAAATCAGCGGAGAGTATGAGTGTGCCGGAGAAGTAACCTGCTGTCCTTTCCCCCGTCCCCAGATCTCACCTCCCTGCTAACCAGCGGGCGGCCCGCTGGGGTGCACCTCCCAGGCCTGCAGTCCTCCGCCGGCCAGTTCTTCGCTTCTCTAGATCCCATTAATGAGGCTTCTGCCATCCTGAGTCCCTTAAGCTCGAACCCAAGAAATTCAGTTCAGCATCAGTTCCAAGACACGTTTCCAGGTACGGAAAAGCTCCAGAGTACTGCCTAACAGGCGGGCCGACTGACAGAAATCTCAGGACTGACGCCTCCGGGGGCGGCCGCGATGTCACAATCTCGAAGTTGGGGCGGGAGGTTCAGGAGTCAGGAGTGAGAAACCGAAAGATTTCTCAGCGAGCTAGCGCTTGCTTCGGATGGTTCCCCCGGAAAAGTGGTAGGGGCACCTGAGAAACCAGAAAGTGTGTGCGTAGACGCGTGGGATACGGGGGCTTTCTTGAAGCCTTTTTGCCCCAGAGGGTGGCTTGAAAAATGCAGCATCAATGTTGCTTATTAACATACGCACATTTTGGGATGACCGCAAACACTTGTGCTTGGTGAGCTTACGACTGGGTGCCTGGGCACATGCGGGAATAAGCGCGCGCGCGCACACACACACACACACACACACGCACGCGATGATTCAGGGCTGCCATCATTCAGACCAGAGGGACGTTTTTGTGTACTCTTTGTAGGCCTGATGGCCACGCATGAGGTTTATGTTTTTCCCTTGGAATTAACGGACAAGCTGCCAGGCTTCTCTACTCCACGCTCGCTTTAGGTCTTCCGACTGTCGCCTTAAGAGCTGTAGAATTCCTCTTTAGAGGGGCCATTCGGTGTGTACACGAAAGGCTTTCTGAATGAGGGTGGAATCAACAGTTAACACCAAACGGTTTCAAGACTTACGGGACCCCCAGGCCTTGGACTGGGCACTGAACGGCCCTCTTGTCTTTTGTCCCTCGTGCTTCCACCCTGCGGCAGGTCCCTATGCTGTGCTCACGAAGGACACCATGCCGCAGACATACAAGAGGAAGCGCTCATGGTCACGGGCTGTCTTCTCCAACCTGCAGAGGAAAGGCCTGGAGAAAAGGTTTGAGATTCAGAAATACGTGACCAAGCCAGACCGAAAGCAGCTGGCTGCGATGCTGGGCCTCACCGACGCACAGGTAAGGCACCTCGGGCTCCAGCGCAAAGTGCCCTCGGGCGGGCAGCAGAGCGGCCTAGTCCCATAGGCCTCCATCCCGGCCGACTGGCCTCCTGCGGTGGAAACGTAGGGTCTTGAATTTCAAGAGGCTTTGTGGACTAGGCAACTTGAGGGTGGAGAAGGGGTGAGGGAGAAGGACAGAGAGAAGAGCTCATCCCCAAGATGCATGTCAACAGGCACTGCATGTTTATTTTGGCCGACAGGCCAAAGAACCACTGAGAAAGCAAAAGGGCCGCTGGAAATAACATTGACCTACTCAACCGTAGTGCAATTCTCTGTAGGAGGCAGTTTATTTCAGAAAAGATAAAAACCCAAAGGCAAGAGATTGTTGTTAAGTTTTTTCCCTCTCACCCTCCCTCCCTCCCTCCTCCTCCTCCTCCTCCTGCTGCTGCTGCTGGATTGTGAAATCCCCAGTTGTGAGGAAGTGAAAATATCATTTCAAACGGAATTAGTTAGCTCCAGGAGGGCAAGGAGTCCGCTTGGAGCAGCCATGTATTCCAAGGCTTAGGCTCTGAAGAAAATCTGGAGGGAGGGAAGAGGCAAGGGAAAGAAAGAAAGAGATAATGATTTTCTTAGAATACCCAAGAGCATTTCAGCAGGTTCTGCCTACTTGAATTTTTTCAAGACAACAGGAAAGTGCTTGAATTACTTTTTTTCTTTTTCTTTCTTTCTTTTTTTAAATTTAAGAACTGGGCTTTTTCTTTTCTTTTCTTTTCAAGCTTCGACTGTAGAAGAGTCACTCTTGTGCACACTGTAGTGCTGGCTGTAACTCCTGGGGTGCTGACTGTCCCTGGCAGGGCAGAAGCCAGAGGCTTCCTTTTCTTAGCTCCTTGGTCCCCCAACTGCTGTCTCTGTGTCTTTCTATCCTCCATTACACAACTCTTCTCCCCAGTGCGCACACAGACTCACTCTCTCTCTCTCTCTCTCTCTCTCTCTCACTGGAGGAGTCCAGCCATTTTCCACCAGCTGTGGATGTTATTTTTAAAGGGGAAACTGGAACTCGTGTGGATGCATTGAGTCCCCACAGGGATCGTATATATCTGTGTAGATTCTCTGCCCCATCTCTGTCCCCTTCCTTCACTTTGTACACATTTAATTCCAGTGTTTTCTGAGCCCCAGGAGAATTAGTTTATCTTTAACGGGGCAGGATCCTTATCAGCTTTTGCATACAAACACACCAAGGAAACACTTTCTTACTGAAAGCCCAATAGTACCCCCACCGTACAGGGATTAACACTTTAAAACTCCTTTTTCCTCTGCTTCCCAAGTTCTTTTTTTTTTTTTTTTTTTTTTTTTTTTTTTTTTAAAACCATATTGCTTTTATAGGGACTTGCTTTGGGTAGTGGCAGTAGAGGAGAGGGCCAACTTAGAATAGGAATTCTTAATCCTGGCTCACCAAACCCTTGACATTGGGAGCAAAATCTTGGATATATGTGTATTTTTTCTGGTCCAGGAGTCCATAACCTTAATCAGATTCTCATGGGGGTCCTGACAGGAAAAAAAAAAAAAGAAGCGTGGATTTAGAGTAGAGACAGAGTACGTTGGGGGTTGGGTGCAGGAATCTGCCTTTCCAACAGTTACTTAGGTCATTTTAGTCCTGGAGTCTGAGGGTTGCATTTTGCAAACGGTCTTAGTGGGTTCCCCAGGCCAGGATTCCTGGCCTCCTGTGTTCCCCTGGGCTGACCCTTGACACCTGTGCCTACCACAGTGCCTCGTCCTTGGTAGGGTCGCCAGGTAAGCGCCAGGTTGCTTTCTCACCGGGGGAGGTGGCTTTTGTATGCAAGCGAGTCGGATCGGAGTGGACCTGTGTCTCATCTCTGTGTCTCTTTTTGTCTCCCCATGTGGCGTGGCGCAGGTGAAGGTGTGGTTCCAGAACCGCCGGATGAAGTGGCGGCATTCCAAGGAGGCCCAGGCCCAAAAGGACAAGGACAAGGAGGCTGGGGAGAAGCCATCAGGTGGAGCCCCGGCTGCGGATGGCGAGCAGGACGAGAGGAGCCCCAGCCGCTCTGAAGGCGAGGCTGAGAGCGAGAGCAGCGACTCCGAGTCACTGGACATGGCCCCCAGCGACACCGAGCGGACTGAGGGGGCTGAACGTTCTCTGCACCAAACAACAGTTATTAAGGCCCCGGTTACTGGCGCTCTCATCACCGCCAGCAATGGTGGGAGTGGTGGGAGCAGCGGCGGCGGCGGCAGTTTCAGCTTCGGCAGCGCCAGCAGCCTCAGTAGCAGCAGCACCGGGGCCGGTTGCGCTAGCAGCCTTGGCGGCAGCTGCGCATCGGAGCTTCTCCCTGTGCCACAGCCCACAACCAGCGGCGCTCCCAAAAGCCCCGAGCCAGCCCCAGGCGCGCTTGGCGGCTTATAGACTGGACTAGGGAGGATGGGATCTGGGCCTTGCGTGCAGTCACCCAGCCATGGGCTGGGTTTTGTACTGACTGTGAGTGTTGGCGGCTTGGCAGGGCAGGAGACGCAGCGTGGAGTATATAGCTCCCGGCATTCACGCTTCGCCTCACATGGCTCCAGCAGGCTGCAGCGGACACTGCCCAGAGCGGAGGGAAGTTGCGGTGTCCCCCTAGCCAGCAGAACACTTCTCTCTGGAAGCAAGCTGGTTAAACTGTGAAGTGTTTGACTAAACTGTTCCTCTGACTCGCCCCAGGGGTCGTGGCTCCAAGGCATTTAAGACGCCTTAAACTTGTAAATAAAAAGTTTACTACGGTTTGTAAAGGCCTTTAGCTTGCTGGGGTTGTTATGGCCCAAGTTCTCCAACCGGACCTTATTCCCTGGGGCAACGCGAAATGTAGCAGCTGAAGGTGGGAGGCTGGAGTTTCAGGGGAAGTGGCTCAACCTCAGAGCCATCTTGCTACAGACAGCAGAGATGGGAATCTGGGCTTGGAGGCTTCTAGTTAAGAGGTTTCCAGTGCCAACTGCCACTAAAAGTGCCCTCTGAGAACCTGAGTAGCCTGAGAATGGAGCAGGCCATAGAAACTGTTAGGCAAGTACAACAGATGGTTTCCCTATCCAGAGTATGGATGAAATGAGTGTACCCTCCGAGAATATGCAGAGCTGGAATGCAAAGGCAGTGCTGCCAGGCCCGGTCAAGGTAGGCACAGCTGTACTCACTAGGTGGACATGAAGCTCCGGCCCAGAGGCCATGGGGCTCTCCCTGCACAAACTTTCCCTTGCTCCAGGATGGGATAGAGGCACTGGACAGATTCATAATGTTGTGGAGGAAAGGACAGGCATGCCACAGTGGTTAGGGCTGGAAGCTTGAGTGCCAGGGGCCTGGTTGTAAAGATGTCAAAGGAGTGACTTCTTCAAGGTTAAGCAGAGGCACAGCCAAGATCAGAATTTAGATTTCCCTCGCTTACATGTGGTCACAGATGGAACTATGAAATTGCATCCCCCATTCCCTCATGCTCACAAAAATCTTTCTTTGCAACTTGGCCACTGGAGGTGCCTAGATGAGTTCTTTCTCCTCAATGCTGCCGAGAGTCATAAGGCAGTTTCCCCATCCCACTGCAGCTGGAAAATATATAGTAAACCTTGACACTGCTACTAGGATGGGCAATTCAAAGTTTTTGTTTGTTTCTTTTAAAGCTGAAGGGCTAAACCTCTCTCCAAGACCTGTTCTCCCCCTTGTAACTATGAAATGTCCAGAGTTGGTAAAAGCTCTTTGTGGAGATTTTGTAACAAATAGATTTCCTTGGGAAATCCTGACCAGCCTTAGTGCCAATCTTGCAGACCTTGTGTCTGCAAGGACATAAGATCTTTTGCAGACCCAGTATCCAGGCAGGATAGCCAGTACTCAGAATGAGTTGAGGAGAAATGCTGAGATCCAAGCGCCTAGGACAAGCCTCAGTCCCCTGGCCAGAGTGGGAAAGTTCCCAGCGGTCTGGTCCTCAGTCTTGCTTATCTCCTCCACTTTTAGGCATTCCCCTGGAGCTCATTCGAGGATCTCCGTTTTCTAGACTTTTCCACCGAGGGGTAAAGTAGAGGTGGCAGATTGAGCCTTCTTTTGCTTGCATAGCTAGAGACATAAGCAAATCCCAGAGCCAACACACGGATGCACAGATGATCATTTCCAGACCTAGCCAACCTCCTCAGTCCCCAAATCGGGATGAGTCAAGAGCAGTGAGAATGGGGTGGGGCCGAGTGATCAGAGTTGTACAATTTAGCCAAGAGAAAAGAAAGAGCATACCGCAAGGGCCCTCATCTTCAACAGGAACAGGAGCTAGCTGTTATCCCTAATTGTGCTGCAAGAGTTGCCAGGCCAGGGTAACCTCCCTACCTGCCCTGGGTCCCAGCCGGGGCTGGAATAGTTTCTTCAAGCCTTCCGCAGGCTGTGCTACCAAACTGCAGGATTCCCTCTGTATCTCAGTTTTGGCTGCAATATCGAGATCCATTTCCCATGACCCCAAATCTTGAAATTCTGGAACCAGGATATCCCAAGCACATTGAATTTTGAGGCACTTCTATCCCGTTCTGGCGTTAAGGAGAATAATGTGCCGGCACACACCCTTAGCTGAGGAGCAGAGCCTAGGGAAGAGAGATGGGGAGGGTGCTTTCTGCAAACCGCACCTACCCCGGCTCCTCACCGGGCCCTGAAGGTTTGCACTACCTCCAAACCCAGACGCTAAGTCCTCGGCCGGGTCCTAGGGCTTTGAAAGTGAAGAAAATCATCATCGAGGAAATGTCAGGATGTGATTTCTACCTTATCCAGGCCAGCTTTCGCCAGGCCAGGGGGCACAGCGGAGCTGAGGGGCCGGGGACAAAATGAGCCGGGAGGCAGGCACCTGAGGGCGGCAGCCAGGAGGACGAATGCTCTCCTGGGGCTCGCAGGAGGCGCCCCTGCCTCTGCCACTCCCATCCCCAGTTCCTGGTCAGTTATCAGGAGAAGCTCTTGCGGGGCTTTACCCTGGCAGTGGAGTTCCTCAACATTTCATCAGAAACGGAGTGTCACAGCCCCGGAGAAGTTACAGTTCATTTAAAAGAAGGGTAGCCACAGGTGGCTAAGAAGAAAGGCTGAAATTTAGCGGGGTAGTCCCATTCCGGGGCTGTTCGATCGACCCCGGTACTGGAATCTTCTTGGCAGCACAAGATGATAGCAAGGGCAGTCAGGCAGCTAGAAATTCTTCAATCAAGTCCGAGGGTTTTCAGACGCGGAAGAGAGGGCCCAGCGCGAACCGTCCGGGGCGCCAGAACCGTCCAGACTTGAGGCTTGGAGGAGGAGAGAGCGCGCGGTCCCTGGCGTAGTGCAGGGCGGGTCAGAGCAGAGCCGGGGCCCCCGCCCCTCCTGCACACAACCCGGGACTCCAGCCAGCAATTACTCTTTGCTCTGAGCAAAGCTATACCTAGCCCGCTGAAGTCCTCGCGGCGCGGAGCCCTCCGAGCAAGACTACCAGGATGCACAGAGGCTCACAGAGGGATGGTGACTAAGGTGCGTGTCACTTCGGAGCGGGTGTGGGGACTCAATACCCATCCCCCATCCGCTCCAAAGCGGACGCACACAGACCTGCAGACTCACAGAGACACAGGAGAGACAGGCAGTCTACTGGCTTTTCCAGCACTTTGCGGATAAAACCACGCGAATAAAATTCCCCATTCTCCACCACATGGCAAAGCAGAGAGGAGCCTCTGCCGCCTTATTCAGCCTGTGTGGGTGGGTAGGGCGCTCCCCACAGAAAAGTTTCCTAGTGCCAAATTCCTCGGACTAAACCACTGAAGGCTGGCGCCTTGTTTCTCTCCCGTTTGCCCGCTTCAGCCGAGAGTGGGCAGAGACCTCCATGCCGGCAGTGTATCTCCTTCGCCTTCTTGTGCCCACCGAGGCCAAAGTCGTCAGCCCCCAGGGCACGTCCAGGCACCGTCCTGCTTCCAAGGGAGGCTCAGGTCATTTTACCCGCCAAGGAGATTACCCGCTTCTCTCCCTCTACTCCCTGCAGAGTCCTGTGGATTGCACGGTCAGACTCTGCTTGCCATCTCTGACAGCCTTTGCACTTCAGAGGCAATCATAAAGGAAGTCCAGTGATTCTGGGATCTTTTCTCTGGCTGCCCTTTCTACCCAGGGTCTGGAGTTTGATGTTGGCAGGGGTTGAACTAGGTTGTGGCCAGTGCAGAGTAGGCGCAGTAGGAGTGTCCAGGCCTTCTTTTCAAGGGACCAGAGGCTGAATAAACAGGAGCGTGAAATCTGGGTTCTCCCGTCTGGGAGGGCAAGTGCCAATGAAAGCTTCCCGTTGGGAGAGGAGTGTGGTAGGAACCGGGGCTTGCAGCAGTGGATTTTCTGCAGGCATCTTGGCTTGAAATTTAATCTGTTGTGCTTCAACGGGTTGAGCTTTAATCTGTTTCCACAGGTCCGAACCCTCCTCTCCTCAAGCCCATACCTTCCTAAGACTCTCAGTGGGCTGGACGGAGCAAGAAAAGCGGAGAGTGATGGGGAGAGAGAAGCCAGAGGCTGAGGTTGATGCACTCTCCCATCCTTTACGGGCATCCTAGTCCCCTCTCCAGCTTCCTTCTCCCTTAAGAAGAAAGAGTAGGCAAGCTCAGCTCCCCTGCTACGTGTAGTAGTGATACTGCTTTAAAAATGACCAAGAGGACCCTAAACACCAGGGACATCACATTCCCCCTTCTTTAGTCTCTGGAGGGTGGAAAGCATCGATTGCACATTCCAACATCTTTGTGAAGATGCAAGTTTTAAGGAGGACTTTAACTGCAGGTGTTTGGGCTAGGAAAGATTTTTAAAAGCCCAAAATTTTGATTTAACTCATGCACTCATCTAGCTCACAGCCTCCGTTTTTGAGGTCATGATGAGATTGTCTGGTGTCCCAAAGACAAACTCGTTGGCTTTCTCTAAAACTTCTCTTCACACACTGAGATATTACAGCCCACAGCACCTACCCCCTGCCACAGCCACTCTTGGGGAATCCAGCCTGCTTACACAAGGTAGGGTGCACTTTTAAGATTCCCTTAAACCCAGGTTCTAATACAGCAGCAGGCACTGCCGGGGTCCCTGGGCCCTGTGAACAGGCAAGCTCAGAGAAACCCTGGCCCTTTAATCCCTTCCCTGTCACTACTCCCTGTCATTTTAGAAATCAGGACAAGATGTCCCTGCAGCTGCGATTACTCCCAACTCCCTCATTTTAGTGGTGAAGTAATGGAGGCTAAGAGATGTGAGGACACTTGCTCTAAGTGCCGTGGAGAGTAAGTGCCTGCAGTACACAGGAACGGGAAAACTGGTGCCAGACACACCTGACCAACTGGATTCTGATCCAGATTATCAAAGCCCAATGAGTTTTAAAAAAGATCATGAGGTTCAACCACTGCCTGAGATGTTGGGCTCCCGTTAGCTCTTCCTCTTCCCCTTGGTCATTCCTGAGGGATGTCCCTCTGGGAGTCAAAGTCTGGGACTCTTTCAGGTTGATACCCTGTCCTCCACTCTGGGCTGCCCTAATAGCAGGATTCGCTTTGCAAATAATGTGTAGGATCCCAGCCACACTGTGCTTATGGAAGGAGGCGACACCCATGGTGCTTTTCGATGTCTGTTAGTCATTGCTGACACTTGGGATTCTGGGAAGGATGTGGAACTCGAGGCTTAATCGCACCTGCTTGGCAGCCCCTGCACTGGCTCCTTCTCTCTTCCTTTAGCTGCAGCAGGTAGTAGGCCTCACTCTCTAGCACAGTACACCCCATGCAACAGACAGGGAACCAGAAAGAGGCTGGCTGTGGCAGCA